AGCCAGGCTCAGGGATCCTGCTACACTTAGTGCACCTGTCCCGTCCATCCCCCCTCAAGGCTTCAGGGAGAAGACCACCATCTCCCTGCCTACCGGCCCCATTAACGCTGTAGCCAAGGCTGAGACCTGGCCCAAGGTTACCGCCACTTGCAACACTCGAGGGGTAACCTACAGCATCGTTGGGCTGGCTAACGCCAGCGCCAACCCCGTGGTGGCTAACGCCTCCTCCGTAGGCAGGACCATAGAAACTGGAACCACACTCCCAGTTCCCTGAGTATCAGCAGCACTACCATAGAACCCAGGCGCTCCACCAGGGTAACCCCCGGTAGGAGCCCCTCCACTCGGGCCTCCAGGAGGTCCAGTGAGACCTTGGCCTCCGCCAGGATGTCCAGGGTGGAAATGGAGCATGCCCGTGGCCACCGCTTCCGCTCCCACCTTGACCGGGTGGTCCGCCTTGCCCACCTCCTCCCCCAGGAGGGGGAGGAGGAGGCGGTCCAGCGATATCACGCTCATGCCGAATGTTGCAGCGCGCACATCGCTCGAGGCCGTCATTTCCAAAATAACTGTGATCCTCACAAACGTGGTTCCCACAATCGGTGCAGAAATATATTGAGACCTCCTGGGCATTCTTGCGACATGCCCAACACTTCATTTTCAAGAACTGACAATTGCAACAGTCCCCGTCGTCACCCCGGCAAAGCCCACAAAACTCACGACTGCACGTAACACACGAGAACTCAGCGTCCGGGTGCCTACGGTCGTTGGGATTGTCGAGGGCACAAATCTTTGGCGCACCTGGACCACCGGTACCGGGAGCTCTTCTTGCGGCCGGCGCAGAGGCCTGTCCACGATCAGACGGAGCTCCAGGAGTCCCCCACCTATCGCCGGGACTCTGGACGTCGGCACTAGCTCTACTCCCAGGAGTCCTCCAGTCATCACCGGGACTCTGGATGTCGGCATGGGCCCTATTACCCCTACCACCTCCTGGATGACGGCCTGGATTCGGAGAGACGTTCCCGCTATCGCGGATCGGCCTGTCCAAACTTGGAGAGATGCTCCCGCTATCGCGGATCGGCCTCTCCCCCCTTGATTGCCGACTCCGGACCTCAGATCCCCTATCGGGGACGACAGCAGGCCTCGGGCTCCTATTCCTACCCACATCCCTATCGGGAGAAACAGAAATGTCCCCCCTTGCACGCGCGCGGGGGCCATCCCTCGCACGCCCTGGCGGTGAATGCGACCTGTCAGGCAACCCCCGAGCCCTCCTGCTCCTGCTATCAGCCCTCTCCCTATCGGGATTAATGGGATGCCTGTCTGCACGAGAAGGATCGACCCTACCGGGCACATCTGGCAAAGCGTGATCAACCAATTCAACACCTCCGCCTGGTCTCACCGGAAGGCCAGTACCCCGACCATTACCCTCTCCGGGAGTGGGCGTCGGAGACCTGATTCTGTGTCCTTGCCCTGCGAAAGCGTCGTATCCGACGTTCCGTCTCTCTCTAGGCTGTGGGGGATTAGCCTGATTGTCCTGGGCACCTTGAATAATGACAGCAGCTTCATCAACATGACCTTCGATTTCATAGAGCTGAGCCATGATCCTGTTGTTCATTCCATTAAGAGTACGCATGTTACTCTCAACAGTGCTGATTCTCCGCATAGCGCCCTCAAGCGTACTCCGGAATGAGTCAATTTCACGCCTAACGGCAGACCGCGCTTGGTCACTATTCGCAGGGAGACTGCGGATCTGTCTTCTGATGTCATCAAGAACTTGATTCAGAATTCCCGAACTCGCCTCGTACTGCTCAACACGGGATTTCAAGGTTTCAAACCTTGCAAGGACATCGTCATGGTCCCCATGGTGGCGTTGAACTCCACGAGATAGATCCTGGATCTTTCGATTGACTTCGTCAATTGCTTCATGCCAGTCCTGCGGGGATACGGGCCCTGATGATCTATCGATCGCCTGTGAACCCCTTCCACTTTGCAGCCTCGACATCCGATTAGCAAGAATGGTTTGCTCTTCATTTATGCCACCAATAGATTCGGAGGCCCACTTAGCAAACTTCTCGTGTTCGAGGAGAGCCTTCTCGAGCTTCAGGTTCAACTCCCTGAAATTCGCGTTTACCACACTGCTACTGGCCCTATCGGACAGTTGCGCGATAGGATCCAGACTCCATTCACCTGCTGGCGTCCTCATCCCGACGGTTTTCTCTACCGAGAACATCCGCTTCTCGAGCTTTTCCAAGTCCTTAAGGATCTCATCCTCGGAAGCAGCATGGCTCCTGTGGACAGCCTCACGATTCTCCTGAATCACCTGACGAAGCCGATCAGTCGAGGCCTCATTGTCCTTGACAGATTCGTGAACCTCGTGGGACAGTAGGTTGATCCTCTGCTCCACGACTTCAGCCTGTTCATCGATGGCTTGCCTAACAATGGCTTTGCTGTCGGGAATAACTTCCCTCGCAAACCGTTGAACTATCATACGCATCCTCCCGGCATCAGATTGAGTTGCAACCTCAGCTGCCAGGCGATCGACCTTGTCCTTCGTCTGTCGGCTCTCGTCGCTCCATTCCCTTCGCAAGGAACTCACCTGACCGTTCAGTAACCTGATTTGGTCCGCAAAAATATGAAACGCCTTCGCGACTGAGCCAGAAACCTCACCCCTCTCGAGCATCTCCTGGATGTGCAACTCAAACATCTCCTTTGCCCTGACGTCACCTGATTCGCCGGAAGACTGGGATCTGAGGGCGGGAGGGGTCGATATCTCGATCCTCTCAGGAGCCCCACTAGCCCCGGCATGTCTTCTAGGGTCACCTACAGGGCAATCATCAATCCTGGGTGGTCTACTCGGGGTAGACCCCCTTCTCCGGCTATCGCCAGATCGGGGATCAACGTTGGATGCACGAGACTCAGGAGTAGAATGAATGTGAACATCAGCAGGGTCGGGCATCTCCTCATCCTGCAGAGCCAAACCCGTAGGTGAGGGGCTAGCCCTCCTTGCCTTCGACCTATCGGTCTCAATGGCGAGAGGTGACGGCCTTTTCGCAGAAACACTACGTTCCCTGGCGGTCGAGCCCCATTGAGGTGTGAACTCGTTACTAGACCTCAGCGTTTCAAGGTCACTGGTGTCTCGCCCTAACGGGCTAGCGATCGACGGACGATCTTCGATTCCGAGCGCATCGGCAAGCCGACCATCCCTGGCACCTGTCCTAACGACATCGGCAGCCCGCTCAGTGATCCTCGGCGAACCAGTAACCCGGTTCGAGTTCGCGTCTCTCTGATTCAACGGATCTCCAAAAGTGATGTTGGGAAAAGGGGGAACATTCGGGGTATCACCAATCGCCGGAGGACCTATCGGTCCCTCACGGTCATGGATGGCCTCCAATCCCCGAAGAACTTCCCGACTATCCCTGGCCCTCTCTCTCTCGCTTCGGACGTCCCTGTCAACACGAAGGTCCCTGGCGGCTCCACGAGAGAGGCTCCTGGGCCTCGCAGCATCACGGATCCTAGCACTTCGGCGTGATTGGTCCTCCTCCTCATCCGCAAAATTGAAATCTTCGCCATCATAGGACTCAGATTTGGCAGTATTAGGGTTGGGCCTACCGGCATCAGATCCCTGCTTTGAGCTACTGCCCCAACCTGCGGTTGATTTCAACAGAGCATCGTATCCGAAGTCTGAGAATTTCCGCTCCTCGTGCTCATCAAACTGACCTGGATTTTGAGAACCGGTGGATCGACCCGAGATACCTCTCGGAGCCAAAACCATAGTCCCTGGTCCCTGCGGCCTGTCCTCAAACCCATCCGAGACCTGGGATTCACCTGGAACAAGAGATCTCGGGGGTCGGGTCGGCATAGCCTCCGGGTCGTCCGAATGAGGGCGGGCCATGTTCATCGCCATGCTGATGAAGTCGAACTGTCCGCGCCTATGACCTGATTCAGAGCCGCTCCTATCGGAGCGAACCCTTCGTGTCTGCTCATCATCGGTGGCCTGGCGGAAAATGCGGTCGTCTCCATCGTCGGTGTACCTGCCACGGCTCCTGGGTGTGTCCCTACCGGGATCTTCACCCCTGCGGTCCTGACCTGCCGAACCTGCTTCGAAATCCTCGTAGTCGTAGTCCGGTAGGTCCTCACCTGAGCGGAGGCCCCCTAGGATGGCCTCCTCATCCACGACGCTCCTTCGAGATCGTGGGGTCGACATAGAGCTTGTAGTTGATGGTCTCAAGCGCGTAGGAAAGTCCTACGGCTGATAACCTGTGATTCGGGCACGAGCCTGTGCCCAGGCAATGGGTAAGTTGGGGTAAACAAGCCACAAAAGAAAGGTTCCCCAAAAGCAAACCAATCCCCGGTCCCAAAGATCAGGGTTTCCCACACACCAGAGAACAACAACCAAAGGGAAACAAACCAAACAGAGAAAAGGGTTAACCCGCAACCTTGGTCGACAACAGGCCGCACGACTGGTCCCTACCAACCTGGCGGCGGCCCGAGGTCTCTTTCTCCCCCGAGATGCCGTCGGTCGACGCAGGGGTTCGGCGACGCCCATTCGAGGCGCGACGGAACCCAAAACTTGTGCCAAAACACCACAGGTCGGTCACTAACGCGACGTCCCTGATGATGATATGAACCATGGCTAATCCCTGATGATGATATGAACCATGGCTAATCACACATTATACGCCTGAACATTGCCTTGTCAATGGTGGTTTCCCCTGGTTTTGGTGGAAAAAGCCAGGTATCTTCTGAGGAGCCCTGAACAAAGGCTTCGATTGTTCACGACACTTCGGCCAATGGCACGGAGGGAACCCGACGCCCGGGATTTGGATTTTAGGATTTCAGGTGTCACCTACTTTCGTCAGGTTGGTGTGATTGAGGTCACACAAATTAAAAAAGCAACGCGCTGCCAAGCCAACTTTTTTTTGAGAAGCTGTCCAAACACAGCTGACTCATGCCAATAACTAATGGCAAAGGCAAATGAGGGCAATGCAGGCTGTCCCAGACCAAGCCTGATCCACCTCATTCATGCAGGGCGGCAGAGTGCATTGGCTAGACTGCTTTCTGCATCATGTGCTAAACTATGGGCTCTCAGCTCCCCCAGCAAGAGCAAAGGCTGAACGACTCAACAGGTCCTGGTGTTAAGTTGGGGCATTGCTCACTTGGCCCTTGTACTTGCTGTGTGCTTCAACCTGCTTTTGATTAGCCGAATATGGACTGCTCTGCACCCGTGCTCCTTGCAAATGACCATCTTGCTCCTGAAACACGTGGCTGCTTTCATGAGTTGCAATTACCCCCAAGCTGCAAGGCATATGCTTCAAGCAGAGTGAGCCCCAGGTCGGCCAAGAGAAGCTTCCAAGTTTGCTCGCGCAACCTGGCGTGAGCATCATTCCGGCCTCATGAAATCCAGGGCCTGCCATACCAAGGGGTCCTGCTCCGTGCACGTGGCAAACCTTGTCAAGACACCTGATCTCCAAGCCCATTCCCAGGCGCGTGCGGGACGGGCAACGATTCCAACTGGCAGAAGCTGAGCCTGTGCGCCCTACAGGCAGGGCCCTTTTCGGCACGCAGAGTACGAAATCGATATTGCGCTCGTTGGCACACTGATCACAGACCTCAGTGTTGGCTGCACGGGGAATGTGATCTAAGCAGGTCAAAATGCTTCAAGCAAACGCTGACCCAATTGTAGATGTACGAACGAGTGTGCGTGTAACATGTGCCGACTTCTGCGAGGAAAGAAAAGGGCTTGGCATTTTGTGCCCTCTCACTCATGCACTCAGCATAGGCATGACAAAGGCCTGGGTATCAAGGCCCGGGCATCTAGAAAACACATTAGACACGCGCCTTTGCGGATCCACCGTCTGTGGATCCACCCTTGTAGGATACTGCAGGAAGACTTGAACAGTACTGAACAAGGCATCCAAACCGATTTCTGGAGGGTACTTACAATGACGGACTTCACCGGACTGACTCGAGGATTTGGTGCTCATGTGCTGGGGGCCGAGCAGGTTGTGATGGGTTGAAACTGCAAAGAACCAGAGGACACCTTGAAAGGCCCTAAACAAGAAAACAAGAAAGGAAGCGCCCTGTTATTCTGTTACCCCACCAAACCTCACCCCGTTTTTGGAGGGAAGCCCCCCCCTCCCCCCCCCGGGGCTGAGTATGGGAAGAGCAGTTGAGAAACGCAGTGGGGAACCTTAGCGCCCAAAGCTTGCCAGTGCCAAAGTGGAACTACCCACACCTCGCCATGAACCCAGCCATCAAACCAATGAATCGCCAGGTCTACACACGTGGGCGGCAGCCAACAGCTCTACACGTGCGCAGTCCGTCGGGGTTTGCTGGGGGCACGGCACATCTCACGTCCACAGCACCACGTCCTTTGCGCAAAGAAAGCGATCGGCTTCTTCAGATTCCATAGTTCTCGTATCACTCTCACAGTCCCAGCTCAAACTGCTTCTGGATCTAATGAAAAAACAACAATTCAGCCGTTGTCCGATGCACTTCGCTTCTGCAAACACTTCGGTTCTTCCTGCGGCCTAGACCGAATCCGTCACAACTTACCAAGGGATCTCGCCATATCTCGCCCCAATCACAATCTGCTAAAGGGGCGGGATGCGTTGGTTGCAGTAATGTTAACCCCGGATTAATAACCCCCTGGTTGATTAATAGGGGGGTGTCCCCTTTTAGTGGGGATTCATCACTTTTGGAGGGAACACCCCCCTAATAATGGGACGGGTTCATTAATCCTAGGTCAACATGATCTTGCCAGGGACACCCGCTTTTGACAAAAGGCCGCAGCTCCTGAAGGCTGGCATCTGCAGACAGCTGCAGCACTGGCTGCTGGTCAACGTGCTTGAACTGGCCCTGGCGTGTGCAGCAAGCAAGCTGTCTGCTCTGCTTGCAGTCTAATGTTCTGTGTTGAAACATGCCACTGCAAACCATCCGCCGACCCCTCTGGCTCTAGCTTCGGCAGCTGGTTTAACTGTGTCGCAACTTGGCTGGGGCAGGAGCCGTGCAAGCAAGCTGTTCCAGTCTTGCGAACAAAGAAGAATGGAACCCGATTGTGGCGCGGGCCATTCTTTCAGAAGAGCAGTTGCCCAGAAATTTCAACTCAGATCGCGCACTCACAACTGGATCCCCCACGCTGTCACATGCCAAGCCGGCGCCAGTTGGAACCACTTCGTAGGTGGCTTGCCCCAGGCATGGGGTCCCATCCCAAGTCCCAACGGACTTTGTCCATGAGACCAACCAGCACGGCCCCCCATGCCGCCTTGAGGCTCAGCAAGATGTTGGTCATCATCTGCTGGAACCTCAGCGTCCATGCGGGGTGCTATAGGGTCGATGTCCAGCGGCTGTAAGCCTTAACTCATGGACTTCTGCGTCATGTTGCCAGGCAGCCGCCAGGCAAAACATAGCCCAACTCTGGCTTGATCGGTACGGTGTTGCATGGTTACATGCCAAGCCTGCTGCCTTCGCTATGAGGTTGGGCCAACAATTGTTTTAAGCCGTGTTTTAAGCCGTTGGGAGTGATTTGCTGGAATCACCCTGTCCAGTGCTCAAAGGAGACGTGGCTAGACTTGATTCCGGTTGCCCTTTGTAGATCGAGCCTCGTTTGACACATAGGGCGCAATGCACAAAACAGAATCGCGATTTCTCTTCAGGGTCGCAAGGCATGGACATACATCCAGTCAAGAAGAAGTTAATATTCTAAGCATGCTGTTCCACCCTGTGCGTCGATTCGGTCAACCAGTCGCTGAAAAATTACCAAGTTTTGAAAGTTACAGGTTCAAAACCCGAAGCATCATGCCTAAGGGTCCTTCCTGGATTTCCCGATCCCTCGGACAGGCCTCAGACCCCCAAACCAAAAATCAATCAACTGACTGGCGGCCACAACCATTGAACCGATCCAAGCACCGCCTTTTGGCCCTGTGCGTCGATTCGGTTAACCAGTCGCTGAAAAATTTGGAGGCTCCAAAACGGGAAAACGGCAGACCGAGGACCCCCTCGCCAGTCCATGGCCCCTGCTGGTAGACCCCCACGTGGAAGTGGCCCTGCGCCAGGGCCTTCAGGAAGGCCCAGCCTCAGCTCTTCGCTCGGCTTTCTTTTTGTTTTTTTTCAGCGACAAAGGACGGCCTTCAGCGAGGTGCTTTTCGTCTTTTTCGCTTCTTGGGTGCTGTAGATCCCCCAGCAAAACGTGTTTTTCTTGTTTCTTCCTTTTTCTTTTGCTGGTTAAAAGGAAACATGAAGGGAATCCAAAAAGTGAAAGTCTAAAGATCCAACCCAATAGCAGTAGAGGCTTCTGGGGAAGACCCCGTTGCTTGTGGTTTTTCGCTTACCGGGAAGGAGCCTTGGGGCCTTCAAAAAAGTCTGAAAAGGCAAAGGTCCAAGAGAATGTTGGGGAGCTCTGACAGCAAACTGCTAACATCCCCTGGACCAGTTTATGTTTACCGCGCAATTGGACGACAGGGGTGTCACGAAGATCTGACTGCATTGACCCCAAAGTTGGCGAGATATCGCCAGCCATTCAAGGTGGCTGCTTCGATCAGATCAACATCACTTCGAACATGGCAGTTGTTGACTTCAGACACGTCAAGACTGTTCATCCAAACGTAATTTTGGTTGATTGGTGTCAGAAACAGCATTGGCTTGAGGCTTGCAAAGACAAGCCTTCTAGATGTGATCCGGCCACTGCATTCTTCCTCTGTTCCACGTGGTGTCTGTCTGGATGTTTCTCCCCCAAGCCCTGGACTGAAAGCACCCTGGACAGTGCCCTCGATGGGGAACTCGGCGCACCACTCCTTCAGCCTGCTGATCAGTCCACTGGGTCTCTTGCTAAGGGAGTTTAAGCAACTAACCATTTTAATCTCAAGTTCATCCGCTTTTTCGGCAAATTCACCAAGGGAAGCCACAGCATGGGAATACGCCTAGATCCTACAATCACACTCAGTTGCCTGCATGCGTGAACGTGAAACCCACGAGTCTGGATTGGTCCGGATGCAATGCACGGCAATTTCCGCACCAATCCTTTTGGAAAAGGATCCCTACACCTACTCACAGTGTGCCGGCGTGAAGGCCATTCTGAAGAACGTAATTGAGCATCTGGATGCTTGCACCGATTTTACAAACAGGAGGCCATCCGCAAAAACGCCAGCAAGTGCCAGCAGCATTTGTGTTTTCTGTCAAATTGCACCACTATGCATCCATGCTCATTAGAAGCCGCCTGCAGCCTGCTGACCCTCCGCTTTCTCGCGTTGGTAAATGCGTGGCCCTGGTATGCATGCCGCTGCAGTTGGTACCTCTTGTTGTGCTTTGTCGCATACCGCACGACAAGTCTGAGACTCCGGAGGCAAGCTTGCAGACCATTGCCATCACCTACCGGGCGTTGGTTTCCCCAACGCCAACACGGACAAATCTGACTGTGGCATGCTACGGCGAGCTGGAGTTGGCTTTCCGGAAAGCCACGTGCCTCACTGGGCTTCCTCTTCTCCCCGTCTCCCGAAGGCCGGGGTTCAACCAAAGGCCACGGGTCTCTTTGCAGTTTGCCAGTTTGCCCGAGATCGACAAGTACCCCTTCGACGGCCCATTGGCCTGCACCCGGAGAAGCAATGGAGCCTTGGGGCCAATGCTGTTGCTCACGCGTGGGTAAAGCGCTCCTGGGGCCAAAGTGGGGTAGCAGGTGGAGCAGCTGTGATGAAAGGGTCAGAATTTTATGTACTCTGTTGATCTTTGGCTTCAAACAGCTTCTGGGCTTCAATTGACTTGGGTATGGGTCAAAATTAAACCACCAGGGCACCGCAGGTTTTCGTCTATGTTACCACTTACCCGGGTTCAATGTTGGGTACCTATTCTTGACCCACTTGGCGCAATTGAGTCGTGAGAGCTCCAGCTCAAGGTAGTTCCGGGAATACGGCCCAACTTGCTTATCATGGGGGGAGCGCACACGCCCGTGGCAACGAAAACTAAACAACCCCTTTGGGGAAAAACACTGCTGACAACAGGCCAAGGCTAACACCACGCATAAACGTCACAATGGTGGTTGCCTGTCACAATGCATAATGGACAGCTCTAGCATACATCCTGACAGGCTCCTTCTCATCTTTGGGTCCAAAGTGGGCGAGTCGAAAGCCCAAGCACACTCGACATTAAGGCTTGGGACATGATCGCACACGCAAAGGGCATGAGCGAACCTGCCTGGCTTTTGCGTCTACACACACCCAATTACTGACAAAGGATGCAAGATCCGTCCATGTTACAATGCTGTGGGCAACGGTCCACTTGCACACACCAGGCGCATAGCTCCGTCTCTGACTGTCTGTCTCTCCGCCTCTGCCTCTGTCTGTCTCCATGGACTTCCACAGGCGGGGTATGAATCTGTTGCAAGGTCTATGCATGTTATGTATGTGTAAAATTGCGTGCCTCTGCCTGTATGCAGGCCTGCCTGGCTGACTGCTGTGTTCGTCTTTGTCTTTGTCTGTCTCTGTCTCCGTCTGCCTGCCTGACCGCCTGCCTGCCTGAGACTTAATCAGCGAAATAAGAACAAGTGCTGCACAGTAAAACAACATTGCGCCTGTCAGGTTGCTTAGGGTTTGGGAGACTGCCCTTTGGAAGACCACCACCTCTCGAAAAGACCCCGTGTCATCCCTTGTCCATTTCCATGATTGCTGCAAGCTAAATCACGACCTAAATGAAAAAATCGATGTGACTTCCCCCAAAGTCTCCCCCCATCTCTCCATGGTATGGACTGCTTTGACTGCTTTGACCAAAGTCGATGCCACTTTGCACTGTGCAACGGCATCGCATTTTCCCTCCACCCGTCTCGGGGCCGCCGCGTGCAAGCGAGGAAGTGGGTGGTCCGCGGCAGCTGGGGCGGAGTGTGCTGGACCTCAGAGCCACGTGGAACTGTGCCTTGGCCCACACCTGGTGCATTCCAATTTCAGATTCTGATTCCGATTTAGTCGACTTATGTCGACTTAGTCTTCCCTAAAAACATGTTTTGGATGAGATCCCAGGTGTCGCATTGTTGCTGAAGCTTGCACTGCGGTAACGCACCACCCCGAGCTCCTTTAGTTGGCAATTTCTCAAAGAGTCTACTGAAATTAGCGGGTGACATGGGAACGCTGACAACCCAACAGCCCCTGGCATCCAAAAAAGGAGGGCCAACCACACAAAGTTATTCTGGTCGAGCAGGGTATCATTTGCCCTTGGGCGCATGCTTTGAAAATCCTCAAATGTCGGACTGTCAAGTGATTCGGAAAACGGGCAGCACTTGTCTACTTGTATGCCCATTCATTTGTGGACATGAATCATCGGCTGGAGGCCCCCCAGGCTTGCAAGTTGACCAACCGATCGATAGAGCAGCTGGAGTCAGTGCGATCCCCAAGCATTCCTTCGGCACCATCTTCAAATGCTTCACCGTTTTGAACCATCGGATGGCCGTGGAAAAACAACCAAGCGCCGGCTGACTTTACTGGCGGTGGGCATCAGTATAGGACATGTCCGTTGCCAGGTTAGTACAGGTCAGCCACATGCGAATACCCTTCAACCACGTGTGAGTCAAAGTCCATGCGCGAGGGAAGCAAAGCTCCAAGAAAACCTAGCCCGACTTGAAGATGGAGGCTTCAAAGGGGTGAAAGGGCGTTGGGTTGTTGTCGGAGCACACGGTTGGTGGCAGTGATGTCCTTCGGCTTACACACAGTAAAGACAAAACCCACCTGGTGCCCAAGCCATTCAACGCGGCGAGCAGGCCGAAGGTTTGAAGCAAATTTCAACCAGCTCTTGGGCCACTCGTCCAGGTTTAGTCTGCAAAACAAACCGTTACATATCCAAAGCATACTCACGTTTGGCATGTATGTTTGGACACTTGCAAACATCTGTGATTCAGCTTGCCTCTACGGTTCACAAAAGGAATTGCCACAATCTCGCAAAGACCCTCCAAAGCATTGAACATCCACTCCAGATTGTCTTGTCGAGTAATGCCCCCTGGTCAATCTTCGTCGTCAATCCAGTTGCGGGTGCTCGTAGTTCTTCAGAATTTCACTTCACATACTTGGGCACATGCCCTCTGGATAGGTTCATCCCAATCAATCCCAGCTTGCGCGAACATGAATGAAAGCTTCTAAGAAGACCCTCTTTCGAAAAATCCCCTGTTGCCACTCCTCTCAGATTGCTAGTTTGTTTGTTTTTTCTGGTTTTCTTGGCAAAAAAAAAGAAACAAAAAAACGGGCCCTGGCCGGAATGGCACACCCGCCAAGTCAAGAGTGCCTAGGATTTTTCAATGGGAGCTGCATGCCAGGGGGTTCCCCTTTGGACCTTCTGCGTTTCAGCTCGCGGCCGGCAGTGGCGGCAGCTCCAGAAACCTGGGCCGACCTCGGATCTCCGGGTCCCACTCCCCACTAAAATCCCGACTTTCTTCGCTGTCTTTGGGTGGTGCACCTACCCCAAAACGGTACCACAACGGTCTTGACCCACAGCCATATCCCACAATGTGTGGTCTTGGCACTAGGTCTTCCAGATTTGAGAGGCTAGAATAAAATGGTATCGGATTTTTGCTGGGGTCTATTTTAGAAGGGGAACCCTCCCAACCAAAAAAGGGGTCAGAAAGGGCACTACTGGGGGACCTAGAAACAGTAACAACATCAGGGACTTGCAACTGTGTGAGCCTCGGTATGCCACATGGGCTTCTATGCTCGCTTGCGGAGGGCAAAACAGTGTGCTCCGTGGGCATGAACGGTAATACAAATAGCATGTAATATGTTCAATAGCCCAGCGTGATTCATAAAGCCAGGCTACCGAGAGGCGCGCTCTGCGTCTTTGCATTGTGACGCGATGCCCCAGCTATACAGGAGGCTGGTAGCTGGTTCTCAGGAAGGCCAAGGGACTCTTTGATGTTTCCAACTCAGCGCAGAATGCCGAAGCTGGACCACGCCCAACTCTTGGTACAGGTGCTAGCACCGTGGATGCCCGAAAAAACGTCGGAGATGAGCTCGAACATGACCTGCGGACCTAATTCGCCAAAGAATATCAACGTTTTCTTTGGGGGGGCAACTTTACACAAAGGAGAGACCTAGGTGACCTAGCTGCAAAAACTGCAGCGAGATTAGCGCTTGAGCCGCCGGGCTCATGAAGTCCCTGAGCTTTTGGTACTCCACCAGGCCACGATCCACCTTGCGTGGCAAGAAGTATCAACCAGATCGCGGAGGGAAAAACGACCAAATTCCGGTTTCTAATTACCCTTAGGTTTGGGTCAACTCTGGCTTTGAACCATCAAAATGCCGGGGTGCCTAATCCGCGGCACAGGAACGCGATGCTCCGAAGGCCACGTGTTGCCAAAAAATTGCTCAAATGCCTTGTAGGACACCAACAACCCATAGGGGGCTAGGCCACTTCGTTTCCTCTCGGCTTCCCTCAGCCAACCATTTTGAGAAACCCACCCACATTTTCCACCATGTCAGTTAAAAGCATGGGATACGTATGGCCCGGGTCTTGCCGTGAAAAACGATGAGAACCCTACCAGCTTTGCAAGCAGAACATTTATTTAGTTGAAGCTTAGGTCCAACAGGTGGCGAAACGGGCCGGTGAAGGAGTGCGCACAAAACACCTGGCACTGGCAAAGGTACGGGGCGATACGCGAGAGCATGCGAAACCAAGAAGGCTAAACCAAAAACCTTGAGGCAGTGAATCAATGTTGATGCGATGAAGGAAATCACACAATCGACATGCTCCTCGAGTGCATCCACTGTCATATCATCTGAATCCGACATATGGCTAATTATGGCTGGTCATGCTGCAAATCAAGGCATGCCATATCCAGGAGTCCTTCCATTGGCAGTTGGGATGGCTCGATGGTCTCAGGTTGCCAAAGCTTTCCACACACGCCTGCCTATAGCTGGATAATGAGTGAATGTCCTCAATCGAGGCACTCGGATCCCAGACTCACATATTGGAAACCAACTAGCAGGGATACCGGGGGAACCAGGGATACAGGAGGATTCCCCCGTTTGATGCAGTTTGACTTTAAGTTTGATATGGGAAACGGGGCCAAGTTGGAATCCCCCCATATCGGGACCCGCTCCCTCCGTATTTTCGCTTGTTCGTGTTTTTTGATCAAACCGCCCCGACCCCACCGACCGAAGCCGCGCCTTTCGGAAGGTGGCCGGAGAGTTGCTCTCAGGGCCCGCCTCAGTCTGCGAGAAAGCCGACGGCCCTGTGCCCGCGCCGCTTGGGAGGCGAAGATGAAGGTCTCTTTGTAGCAAAGCAAAGGTCAACCACCTGGAAATGTGTGCTTTGTTTGGTCCTTAAGGCAAAGGTCAACCACACCCCTGGAAATTTGTGTTTTGTTTGGTCCACATCAGGCCAACGGGCAATCCCAGTCGATTCGAGCTTCAACGGCCAGCAAGTCCAAAAAGTGCAACCATGCCAAAACCTGAAGACATTGCCTGTCAAACACGCCCCATGCAGCAGCTCCATCCCATTTGCAAGGTTTGGGTCGGCTCAGGGCTTGGGGGACAGAATCCCAATCACCTCCTGGAATCCTCAGAATGTCCGATGGCCAAAAAGCAGAAACGGCCTTTGACATTAATATACAGCTCCAAGCTGTGCATTAAGCGAAGATTTGTTGGGACAAAAAAGCTCTGCGTTTGCAGGGAGCCTCTAAACCCCACAACTGCAACAGGAGCTAAGGCAAACCCACTGGCTGCTGCCAGCGAAGCCTTGTTGATCACGCCCCTGTGGCTGTGAGGCGGCTTTTATGGGCTTGCCCAGTCTAAACAAATGCTGGAACTCATGTTACTCGTCCACAATTGTTCAATGACTCTAGCTCCGCTGGTTCTGGCGAATGGTGGTTCCATTGGACAAGATGACAAAAGGTTGCGTTGAGAATTGCACGCAAGGGCCAACGACCTCCCCCTGAACCTGGTGCCCAGTTGCAATGAAGACTGCTTGTTGGTCAAATCTGGTCGGGAACAAAATGAAACAAGGCGCGCTTTCGGCTGATGCTCCCCATTTGCATGCCACTGAAAAGCCTGGACAAGCTCCCAACTCTGAGCCCAAGCAACCCCAATCTATTTCACCACCCAGGACGACCTGCAAACAGGTGGTTTGCTTGCAATTGCTACAGCTGATCAAACCCTTGAACTTTCCTCGACCGGCCCCTGTCAGTATCTTGGGCCCGATCTCCCGGCAGGATGGCGTAGCAGGCATCAAACATGACCGTCACGCAACACCTTCGGCCAAGCGATGTCATGCGTCGGATGAACTCTTGTTAAAGCATGTGCCCCCTGTCAATTATTGTTCTAACGTCAACTTGAGTATGTTAGTTCGTAAGTGTCACCGCTTGAGAATGACAGCGGCCTCTGCCGTTTTGGAAAATCGATTCCCCAGGTTCCAAGTGGCAACGGGCCTTCGTCGATTTTTGGAGCAAGGTGCCTTCGCTGCACCATCATTTGCATGTCATCGGTGAATTCAGTGGCACGCCGAACAAATGTAATTAGAGTGTGAGCCAGCAGTGCCCACTGCACACTTCCCATCTACCAACGTGACAGTGCATTGCCGGCGGGTTCTGATCTTTAGTATCGGGCTCCACGCCTCTTTGGCAGGCGGCTGATGAAGTCGTGCACCTCTTGAGTGGCGAATTGACCGGGAAATCACAACACGGGGGCATTCTCGTCAAGTGCATACTTCAATAATGTTGCCCCCATATTTATCAACCCCAGTTCATTAATAAGGGGGTGCTCCCCCCAAAAGTGATGCATCCCCACCAAACCAGGGACACCCCCTATTAATAACCTGGGGTTGATTCATGTGGTCAACATTCTGCAGCTTGCCGCGGTTGTTTTGGCGAGTCCCAGGTCTTCCAACATGAACCCCACCTTCTGGGAGTGCCCTTCAGGGCAAGGAGTTGAGATTCGAACATGTCAAATCGGCGCTTGGCAAAACATAGGCAAAAACCTCTGGGAGGCTCGGACAAAGATCAAGCCCTGCCAGGTGGCGCCTATGAACCCAATTGCAAGATTCCAGGTGGACTCCCCCCCCTTTGCAACTTGCAATGCGAGGTGAATCACACTCGCACGTGGACCCTTCCCACTGAGACTGGCCTTCCCGCAACCATTGGGACAACTGGCGGTTGAAAGCCGTCAACGCGTGCTGCGTGACCAGTCACGTCACTTGTTGTGCAGTAAACACGTTGGGTGATATGGAGGCACAACGTCAAAGAAACAACTCCAAAACAAATATATCGGCAAAATCTACAATATGTCCAACACCTGAAATTATAGTTCCCCAGGTAAAGGACCTATAATGACCTATATCATGGTGAGCTCGTTTTACCCCCCAATGAGCTCGCCAGAAAACAGGACAACCGCCTCCAGCATGGACACCAAGCGGTAGCCGCTGCGGGAGCCTCCTAGGGCCTGGCTGTCGGAACACGCGCAGCCTCCAGGTTTGTACCTTTGGCAATGCGCAACTTGATGTGACTGGACTCATTGCAAGATCCCCTTCCGTTACATGCAAGTTGCTCCCTTGAGCTGTCGTGGAATTTTGTTGACCACAGATCCAGGGAGTCGGGGAAGATTCAGAGCCCCAACATTTGTATCCGCTTCAGATCCCAACAGGCGCTAAACCATAGGCAGATTCATTCAGGGCATGGCGAAGGTCAACACTTCGGATGGTGCGAGACCCATGGCCAAAGCAAAAACCCGCGCGGCTCGCTTTAGAGTAGCCATCGCACATATTTGCTCGCTTGGGACTTGGTTGTCCTGGGTTGCCACAATTAAACCGGCTGAAGGGCAACCCTCCCACCAAACATTGTCAGCATGGATTCGGGGAAAGAAATGAGACTCTTGCATGGCTCTCCCTCAACTCCTACAAAATTAAAGAATCAACATCCCCCTGTGGCTTTCATTTGGGAAGATCAGTGCAGGCTACTTCCCATTGTTCATGCCAATGGCAAGACGTGAAATGCCACAAGGCGCCCTCACGGCAGCACCTTCTGGGCAGCAGCGGCATATCTCTGCAGCTCCTCGGGCGGAAGCGTGCCTGACAAGGAAGCTGGTCATCCCCCCCTACCTGGGGGAGGGGGGTGGGGGGTCCATAATTATCTTATCTTCCCCTTACGAAGCAAATGGAACTACAAATGGAGTTCCAGGGGTCACCCCCCTCCCCCAATTCCATATTTAAGGGGGTGGGGATAGCTGCATGGCATGTCTGATTGGGGGTCAAACGTTTAATGCTGACCCCGGATTAAAAACAAAAAACAAACCTGTTTATTAATATGGGGTTCCCTGGTTTTAGTGGGGATTCATTACTTTTGGAGGGGAACACCCTCATATTAATAAACAGGGGCTTATTAATCCGGGGTCAAACGTCTATGCTTGTCAGTCCACCCCAGGTGTCCAGCACAGCGCGATGATTGGCTGGTTATTGAGTCAAAGGTCATGAAAGATGAACGCATGATATCAAGCATGTCGGCCTGTGTATCAACAACATGTGCACACACGCACGCCCCTCGCAGACAAAA